TTCTTTCCAGCCCTCCTGTTTCTAACTCTTCCTGAAGCACCAGACAGAAAAGGCAGTGGAAATTATATAGCAACTTCCTACCTTTCTTTTAATTTCTCCAGTTTCTTTACTCCCTCATATATCCCTCATACCAGATATTTTAAATAATTTTTTAAAAGGTATGACAGAGAAATCCTACATATAAAAGTTCAATAAAGCTTATGATTTGTATTTCAAGTTGTCACCATGATTTGGAATCATTTCACTGTTGGAGATGTCAAAAACAGTGTCTCAGACAAAACACATTATTGAAGTCAAAGTGCAGAGACCACAACTACCCGCCCTTCTTTACAAGCTGGGCACTGGGCAGAAAAATGGACGGGCCAACGTCTGACCCATCAGGGAGCTTCCTGGTACCTGAGAGTTATTTACAAGAATAATAGGCAGTTCACTGTGGACAACAGTAACATACTCTGGAATTCTGAGTGGGGAGATTTCTGTTACACAGATATTCATCTGGCAAAGAAAAAAAAAAGGATTTATTTCCAGGATAAAAACTACTCTGGATAAAAAGGATAGTGAAGAAAGGAAGGCACAAAGCCAACACTAGCTCTACAAGAGCAGGGGTTCTGTCTGTTTTGTTCACTGCTTTGTTGAGAACAGTGCCTGGCATATATAGCGTGGTCTCAGTAAACATTCACTGAATGAGTGAGTGAAGTTGGGGGGCGGGAGGAAGGGAAGGAAGAAGGAAGAGAAGGAGGGAGGAAGGCAGGAAGGCTGATTTTTCAGAAGCTTTAACAATAGAATTAAGTCTATGGGGAGAAAAAAATCAAATAAGCAATATGGATTCACAGAAACCTCAAAATAAAGATTAAATAAATATAACCTCAAGATTTCTTACATTATAAATGTACCCAAGAAAAACCCGAAAAGCTCACGACAAAGGTTCCACGACTTTCACAGGTGTGTACTCAGTATTTAATCAGGCTGTCCTCTGAAGCTTGTTTCTGCAGAGCACCTCTTCTAGTACCCTGGGCATGAGGCAGCGGTGAAGACGTGACAGTGAAGGAGGCTTCTGCTAGGTCCCCTGCATGTGTGGCAGCATGCCCAGAGCCTTTTCACACACCGTAGAGATGGAAAGAAATCATTTCACCAATAGCCTTGCCTCCAGGAAGCAATGCATTTGAACCACTCCAAACCGTCTATTTTCGTAGGTTCTCACTTGTACAAAAATTTGTCTCTAAATATGAAAATTTATTATCAAAAACACCGAAGAAAAAATTAAAAATAAATAAATGTGAGACTTTAGATAAGTCAGCCAATCCCCTTGCACATTAGTTTCCTCATCTTTGAAATGGACATAAATATAGTATCTACCTCATGTGACTGCTGTGAAGACTGAGAATGAATATAAAGTACAGGGCACAGTACCTGGTATACAGTAAGTGCTTGACAGAGCCGTTATTATCACAGAAGGTAAGCTTATTTTGCAAATAAAAGAGTAAGGCTTTCCTTGAGGTCTAAGCATTTCATCTTAAGGCACAGGTCTGGAGTCTCTAAGTCTTACCACGGTCTTAGTTCAAAGCCAATAAATGATCTGTGATTTACAAAAGTCCTTGCTGTTGCTAGACGTACTTCATCCTTCCTTTGAAGGTTACTGGATGCACGAAGTTCCAAATGTGCACCTTCTCACAGTATGTGAGAGCTATCTCAGGCTTCCTCAGTGGAAATGAATGTGCTATTTTTAAATTGGCCAGAAAATGACCAGACTAAACAAAATAATTGGCCAAACATGCTGGCACCTGGCTTGACTGAGGGCAGAGATAGCAGGCAGTAAGTGTGGTATCTTGGACCAAATACTAGAGGGAGTTAAGAAACTAGAGTTCAAGTGTAATTTTGCCACTTTTAGCTGGGTAAGCAAGCTCCTTTACCTCTCCTGGCCTCAGCTACCTCTTTTATAAAATGGGGTATGTATTAGATTAACTCTAAAATTCCCTTTCAGCTCTAAGACTCAGTGATTCCATGGAAATGGTAAAAACCAAGAGGATGGTTGGCAGAAGTAAAGTAACTATAAAGACATGAGGCCAGGAGGGAAGAAAAAAACTAAGAATGAGAATGAAAAGAGAAAACTCTGGGTTCGTAAGAGGAAGGATTAAGTAAGTCAAATATTATCCATAAGGGTGCAGACCAGGAGGATGAGCTGGGCTGACTGCCTAGGACAAGACTGGGTCAGGAAAATTCTAAAGGATCAGTAGCTTGGAAGACCACTTATCTTTGGAACAGCCAGGAAGAACATTGCCTCTTCAGAGACTAGGTGTTAAGAGAAAGTAACCAATGATCTGAGAGAGTGCAGAACTCCAACATCAGACTTAAAGACTCTTCAGGTCTACTGCATGGCTACAGACTACTCACATCAGAGGTGAAGGGCTCAGAATCTGAAGACTGGCTGCCTGGGTTCAGATCATGGCTCCATGACTAGCCTTGGGACCTTGGGCAAGTGATCTAACACTGATGCTGTGCCTCAGTGTCCTCATCTATAAAATGGGCATAAAACCTATAGCTACCTTATAGGAATGTTGTCAAGATTAAATGAGCCGATATATGGAAAGCCTCTTGAACAGGGTCTGGCATCTGGTACGTAATAAACAAATGTCAGTTTATTTACTTAATTTTTGCTGCAGAGTGGGATGTTTCCATGACTTGCTGCAAAGTCACTTCATTCTCCTGATTGAGAGGATTTAGGGGCAGGATTTCTTATACAAGGTTGAAATCTGTCACCTTTTTGTTCCTTGGGTGGGGTCGGGGGAAACTTCTAGCCACTGGCAGTGGTGCCTCTAGTATATCACCAAGGCTGCAGCTGCCCTTCCTCATTTCTGAGGTGCCACTGCAAGGAGCACCAGATGACCCCAGGAGTGTCAGGCAGGCCAGCACTGCAGCAAACCATATGGGGTTTCCTTTGGGGAATCTGCCACACCATTCTCCCCTTGCAGTTACTTTAAATGTACTGCTAAGTAATCTTAACTTGAAGGTAGTTGTTTTTTGATACCAGAACATTAAAAATGATATATTTTTACTTTTCCTGCCCTTTTACAGGCCCAGATTAAGTTGCACTTAATTCTCCCTCATGTGTTTCTGTTTACCCTTCATTAATTATGCAATTTTAACTTTTCTTCCAAATGCTATGCAAAATGATGTTGTTTCACATGTCTACATTCCCAGAATTATCATACATAGGAAAATATGGTGCTTCCACATCCACATTTACAAGTAAAAGCAAAACTTTAATAGACTCCACAACGTTTAAGAGCTAAAGCCACACCCTTCCAATGCTCCCTCTCGTTCTCTACAACTGAGCTCTAAGGACTCACTTTATTTCCATCTGCAAGGCAAAATATTAATCTGAAGTGGTCCAAATAATCTGGCTACTTGATGAGACACTAATATTTCTGGAATGTTTAAACTATGATTCAGAGAAGGAACAATCACTGTTCATTGACAATGCCCCATTTCTCTATTCAATCGTGGATGGAGATTTACTTTACAGGACTGGGGAAGAAGCTAATGCCATCAACCAGGTCAGGAAGACTCATCAGAAGTTGCTGTTAGTGAGGCTGTGGGGGAGGACAGTCAGGAAAGGAGACTGGTGTGTCTGAAGAAGGGGCACAGACTGGCCTAACTGACAAGTTTCTCCTGCTGCTTCCTCCTGAGAGGTCTTCGTAGGAGTTTCAGCCTGCATGTTTTTTTTTTAAGCTCTGTTGATAACATTTCAAAAGCAACCTTCCCAGTAAATACAAGGAAGTTATATGTGGAATATTAAAATGAAATATATGAGCTGTTGACATTTAAAAAAACAAAAACTCATTAGGTAAAGTTCTTATCTTACAATGCTCCCTTCCTCTGATTTTGATACAATTTTGGAAACCTTTCCATGACTTCCTAAGTGTACAAAAATAGCTTTCAGTGGAGACCCAATGCAAGACTACTTCAGATGGTTTTTATGACTGATTAGGTCTTAAAGAATGACGTTACGATTATAAAGCTTAAATACATTTTTTGAAAGCATTTTTTCCTAAAGTTATGATACATTCTAAAGGTTCTGGAACATGGCTACACAATAAATTCTATAACTCAGTTGTGATATTAATATATATATTCTACATGGCCAAATAAGATAAACATCGCCAAAAAAACCCCAAAATAATACCCCCTTTCTCAAAAAGTAAATTTGTTTATACACACACACACATAAAATTGGAGGCAGGGTCTCACTACATTGCCCAGGCTGGTCTTGAACTCCTGGGCTCAAGCAATCCTTTTGCCTCAGCTTCCCAAAGTGTTGGGATTATAGTTTTAAACCAGCACACGTACATTTCAACTCTTATTACGTGTTATACTATTCTCAAAAGGAAACCCCTCATATAGTGTGTCAGACTATGAACTCTTATACCACTGATGCACTGTTACTAAATTTAAGGGTTTTTAAAATTCTATTTACTGGCAAATTGACGTACTTTTGAGCACTAAATTAAGTGAGCTGTGACAGAGAGAAGGACTAAACTGAAAGAGTGGGATATACCTAGACAAAACCCTAGCCCAAAAGGCCAAGGACAGTTAGAGGACCTTTAGAAGCAAGCTGAACTCAGTTGCTTTCAACAAACCAATAGCTATGCATTAAATATGTATTACAGACAGGAATCACAGGAGAGAAAAGGATGAGATGCAGTCAAATCCTTATGGGCAAACACACTCGTCCCTTCCATGTGTATTCTGCAACTTGGGGGTTTGAATTTGGCTCTACCAGATGTTCCTCTAGCAAGTTTCTTAATCCCTCTGAGCTTTGGTTTCTTAATCTGTAAAATGGGGATAATAAACCCTATCTCATAGAATTTTAGTGGGGACTGAACTAAAGGAGACAATATAGGGAGGGGGCCTCTCTTCCGGTATCAATAAAAGTTACTTCCTTTCCTATCATATACTGTCAAGAAAACCATATCTAGTAAGTAGTAAATGTAGCATTTTACCTGGAAAAGGTCTGTCTTCATCACGCCCATGCAGAGGAACTGCCTTATTTTCTGACATGTACTTCTTGGCAATGGGCAAGGACATCAGCCTAATGTGATGAATGAGTGAGCGCCAGGTGTGAGCTCCAGAAAGCACTGGCTCGGGTGTTAATGGGCTGAAAGGTTGAATCACAAAGTAGGCAGTGAGCATGATTAATCCCAAGGTTGCGAGAACCTGCAAGGAAAGATAGAAAAGGCATTAGTAATCATCCCAGCAAACAAAATACCTTAAAACCAAGACCAAAAAAAAAATAGGCCACTTCTGCTATTTCCAATGTCCCTTAAGAACTAATCCATTTTCACAAACAAGCAACTTAATGTTACTTCTAGAAGAATTTAGAAATTGAGAACTACGAGGACTGCAAGGCTCACCAAGCTGCTACCACATAATCAGAAGCTATGTCCACCATTTAAAAATACACAAAGGAGCTGGGTACAGTGGCTCACATCTGGAATCCCAGCACTTTGGGAGGTCAAGGCAGGTGGATCACCTGAGGTCAGCAGTTCGAGACCAGCCTGACCAACATGGTGAAATTCCCATCTCTACTAAGAATACAAAATTAGCCAGGCATGGTGGTGCATGCCTGTAACCCCAGCTACTTGGGAGGCTGAGGCAGGAGAATTACTTGAACCTGGAAGGCCGAAGTTACAGTGAGCCGAGATAGCACCACTGCACTCCAGCCTAGGCAACAAGAGCTAAATTCTGTCTCAAAAAAATAAAATAAAATAAATACACAAAGGCTGGGTGCAGTGGCTCACACCTGTAACCTCAGCACTTTGGGAGACTGAGGCGGGCAGATCACTTGAGACCAGCCTGGGCAACATGGAAAAAAACCCATCTCTACAAAAAATAGAAAAAAATAGAAAAATTAGCCAGGTGTGATGGCGTGTGTCTGTGGTCCCAGGTACTTGGGAGGCTGAGATGGGAACATCAACTGAGTCTGGGAGTTCAAGGCTGCAGTGAGCCATGATGGTACCACTGCACTCCAGCCTGGGCAACAGTGTGACCTTGTCTTGAAAAATAAAAAATTTGGCCAGTTCTGGTGGTTCATGCCTGTAATCCTAATACTTTGGGAAGCTGAGGCGGGCAGATCCCTTGAGGTCTGAAAAAAATATAAAAATTAGCCAGGTATGGTGCCGCATGTCTGTAATCCCAGCTACTTGGGATGCTGAAGCAGGAGAATCATTTGAACCTGGGTGGCAGAGGTTGCAGTGAGCTGAGATCATGCCACTGCACTCCAGCCTGTGGACCAGAGCGAGACTATCTCAAACACACACACACACACACACACACACACACACCCCAAGGCTGAGCGTGGTGGCTCACACCCACAATCCCAGCACTTTGGGAGGCTGAGGCGGGCAGATCATCTGAGGTTGGGAGTTCAAGACCAGCCTGACCAATGTGGAAATACTAAAAATACAAAATTGGCTGGGCGTGGTGGTGCATCCCTGTAATCCTAGCTACTCAGGAGAACTGGGGCAGGAGAATCCCTTGAACCCAGGAGGTGGAGGTTGCGGTGAGCTGAGATTGCAGTATTACACTCCAGCCTTGGCAATAAGAGCAAGACTCCGTCTCAAAAACAAACAAACACATGCACACACACACCCCAAACAAATAATAAAAATTAAATAAGTAAATAAGAATACACAAATATAACTATAAATATGCAGCTTTCATCTAGGACCTTTAACAACACAGTCAAATTTCCTAGTAACACACGGTAACAAGAGCGAAGGCCAATTTATTCACGGAAAAATAATCAGTTAACTGACTATTGTTATCTGATCCATAGGATCAGATAACAATATAGTATCTGTGAAGATACTGTGAAGTATCTGTGAAGAATGTTGAAGAGTTTGTGCTCTGTCGAAGCGATTACCAACTCAGGACACATTTTTACCTTATACAAGGCTATAAGGAGAGGATGCTGGGGGGGTGCCCTCTGAGGTTCATTCTTTTCCAGCAGCTGTCTGATAAATTTTTCAATTGCCTTCTCTGACATGCCACACTGATGGCCTGTCTGTCTCACCAAATCAACAGTCTCTGCAAGTTTGTCATAAATGCTGAGCTCGTTGGCAGCAAGATCCATGTCTTCCAACAGAAAATCCCTGAGAGAGACGGAGAGAAAATAAATGTAAAAAGAAAGGTGGTTTCTTTAGGGACCTCCTTCTCAAAGCTACATGACCATCTACAGAGAAGGACCGGTTTTGTGTTTTCCTCAATCCTCTGCAGACCAATACTTTTATAAAACACAATGAATACACTGAGACAACGTCAAACTGCCATACAAGTTTTAAAAGATTAGTTAACTGTGGGCTAGGAACAGTGTACAGACCTGCACTAGTTCCCAAGCACTGAGGAGCACTGGTCTAGAGCACAATATATCCTAATGGGACCCTGAAGCACTAACGACATCCAAAAAGATTTCTGACACCAATGCCAGGAGAGCTGCTACTGGTAATTTCCTAAAATAAAAAAAAAAAAATGGATTATGAACAGTATTGTTGATCAATTATTTCTTTTCAATTATACCATTTGCTTTTAGCAACACGAGAGGAAGAGCTGATCACTGAAGGTGAGATTTACTGAGAGCAAAGGGCTGATAAGTTTTGTTCTTGGCAGAGCAAAGATTTTAGACAACACAAAAACTATGGCATGCAGCTTGCAGTCCTCATACTTTTCTTTCCCCTTTTTAAAAAAAAATTCTTCTAGAGCAACCAGAGTCCTTATGCTTTTCTACAAATACAATTTTAGAAAATAAAGGGCACATTATATTTATTTTATATATTCAAAAGACCTAAGATTTTTAACTAATTTTAAAATTCAATTTGTGTTCTTATATAGTTATTTTAAAGCGAGATTGTTTCATCGTGTCCATAGAATAAAAGGTAAAAAGTAATGGGGCAAAGTAGAGTTCTCTTTGCACCATTTGTAAAATAAAATTTAAAAGTTCCAAGGCGGGGCGTAGCCTGTAATCCCAGCACTTCAGAAGGCCAGGGCAGGAGGATTGCTTGAGACCTGGAGTTTAAGACCAGGCTGGGCAATATAATGAGACCTCGCATCTACAAAAAAAAAGAAAAGAAAAATTTTAAAAATCAGCTTGGTCTGGTGGCACACACCTGTAGTCCCAGCTACTTGGGAGGCTGAGGTAGGAGGACTGCTTGAGCCCAGGAGTTTAAAGCTGCAGTGAGCTATGATCACACTACTGCACTCCAGCCTGGGAGACAGAATGAGATCCCATTTCTAGAGAAATAAAATCAGATAAAATAATTAAATAGTTATTTTAAAAAGTGTTTATGTTATAAAACAATATTTTTCTTCACTTACAGGAAGAAGAAGTGTTTCTTCGGGTTTATGCTTTCTTCCACTGGGCTTTTTTTTTTTTTTAAATACATAGGGTCCTTTTATATCACATACTTCATTCCTACAATGCTTCTAGCCTCAAAAAGCACTGACATAGAGAGTGCGGCAGAAAAAAAAAAAAAAAAAGCACTGACATAGTACATGTGTATCCTCTCAGTAAGGAGATGCTGCCACCTGCAGGATGGAGGACACAGTCATGTTGTTCCAACACAACCCAGCACACACCAGCACATCTCCTCTTCCAGCAGTGTGCCTTCCAATCACTCCTGTTTGCCCTCTTTATGACTATTAAGTGTTTAATTCATTAGGGCTTAACGTGGCTTGCCCATTAGAATCACCTAAAGAGCCTTTAATAAATGCTCATACCTGGGCCTCAACTCAGACCAATTAAATCAGAATCAGAAGACTTCAAATGGTTAAACGGCATGTAATCTAGACTTGGAGGAACTGGGGGAAGGAGAGAAGAACCCACCACGCTATGCCCCCCACATTCAGATAAAAGGATGGTACAAACTACATTTGAGACTTGAACAACATGGGTTTGAACTGTGTGGGTCCACTTAAAAGCTGATTTTTTTCAACCAACCCAGGATCGAAAATACAATATTTTCAGGATGCAAAAACTTCATATACATATACAGAAGTATGACTTTTTGTATAAACATATTCTGCAGAACCAACTGTGAAATTTGAATCTGCAAGGATTTGGGTGTATGTGAAGATCCTGGAACCAATACCCCACATATACCAAAGGACAACTATATATTTTTAAATGTATTATTTTCAATACATGAGGCTAGGACAACTCGATATCCACACATGAAAGAATGAAGCTAGACCTTTCTTTTTTTTGAGATGGAGTCACTTAAACCTTGGAGGCAGAGGTTGCAATGAGCCGAGATTACACTCCTGGGTGACAGAGTGAGACTCCATCTCAAAAAAAAGATACAAATGACCAAAAAACACAAAAAAGATATGCAACATCATTAACTATCAGAGAAATGCAGATCAACATCACAATAAGATACCATTTCACATCCACTGGGATAGCTACAATCAAGAAGTCAAATAAAAAGTGTTGGCAAGGACATGGAAGAACTGAAACTCTTGTAGACTGCTGGTAGGAATATAAAATGGTATAGTCACTGTGGAAAACAATTTGGCAGTTCCTCAAAAAGTTAAACATAGTTATCATATGACCCAGTAGTTCCACCCCTATGTACGTACCTAAGAGAACTGAAAACTTATGTCCACACAAAAACTTGTGCACAAATGTTATTAATTAACAGTCCCAAAATGGAAGCAATCCAATGTCCATGAACTGATGAAAGGATAATCACAATGTGGTAGATCCAAATAATGCAAAATTACTGGACGATAAAAAGGAATGCAGTACTGATATGTGATACAACATGGATGAGCCCTTGAAAACAGTATGCTAAGTGAAAGAAGTCACAAAAGACTACAGATGATATAACTGCATTTAGGTGAGAAGTCAGAAATAGGCAAATCTTTTTTTTAATACCTTTTTAATAAACCTGCAAGGAATAGGTAAGTCTATAGACATATAAAGTAAGTTTTCAGATGGGAAGTGACTTATCTGAGACCACCCAGTCAGTTGTCACCTGAGCCTCATCTGGACCTCACATTCGTTTCACTAAGCCATTTTTGATTAGCAGCCAGGAGGATGGATTACAAAGTATTAAGAGCCATACTAACAGTAACACCAAAAAACCTCAGAAATTAAGATGCAGCATTTCCAATTAAAAATAAGTCAGAAGTAGATGATCTCTGGAAGATGAGATCACAGCTGATTTTTATTTTCTTTGTGATTTTTGTATTTCCCAAAGATTTCCTGTATCAATTTCATAATCTCAAAATTCTTACAGTCACTTCTAAGGAACATCATCGGGCACAAAATGAGACAGAAATGGGCAGCAATGCATGACTGTGGCATCACAGGGAAGAAGCACAGTATGATTTCCCACGCCATGATGTTTTGGTTCTCCGTAGAGTTGTATTCAAATACTACAACTGGAAAAATGGAACAGCATTGGACTTGAAGACAAGCTTTGCCAATTGCTAGTGACATAATTTTGCTTAAATTACTTGGTCTATTTCTGCATCCTAAAAATAAAAGGAATGGATCACAAAGTCTTTAGAATCTCGCTCTAAAATTCTAAGAATGTAGGAACACTTCAGGAAAGAGAAAAATTCAATTCATCAGAAATTAAAGACTCATGTTCAATTGCATTCCTATTCCTGTTCCCACCCTACATGCCAGGTGCCTTGCTAAACACTTAAAAACATTATCTCAGTAATCACCACTGTGATTCCATGAGGTAGCTGTGATCAATCCCATTTTATAGACATTCAAGGCTTGGAAAGGCTTCGTAACTTGCCAGGGTTGGGTTGGTTCATGCTGCCTCCCTTACCACGTATTTTCCTATTCTGAGCTGGCAGTTTGGAAACCACATGTCCCTTGATCACAGCTGAGCGGCTGAGAACTGGAAAATGACTGACTACAATGATTCCTGCGAATAAAGTGGAAATTTATTACAGTATTTTTCACATCTTGGTTTTGTGACCAGTGATTCTGAGATGGCATTTTCCTGTTTAAATTAACAGGAAATTTATGGAAGCTAGTAGGAATAATATTTATTTAAATACATTACTCTTCTGTACCTGTCCTCAAGCGATCCACTCACCTTGGCCTCCCAAAGTGCTGAGATTACAGGCATGAGCTACTGGGCCTGGCCTGTAAGCCCTTTCGATACACATAAAAATCTTATTAAACTCTCAGTTTGTATCACAAAAAAATAAATAGGTTTCTTTTCTTGTTGGGTAATTCGATTAGAATGATATTACAACACTGAATATATTTTTGCAACCCATGTATCCTTCTTCCCAGAGATTGTGACACATTTCTCAAGTTATCAGAAACCCAATTAATAGCAACTTGGTGATGTTTCTAAGAACACCTGTGGATTTTGAGGATAAGCCCTCCTTTTGGCTTTGGTTATATCAGTAGTCCTAAACTGGAAAAGATTCTGCCCCCAGGGATGCCTGGAGACATTTTATATTGTCTCACTAGAGGGACACTATTGGCATTTGGCTGGATGGGATGGTAATTAAATAACAAAATATCTCATCTCTTAAAAAAAAAATCAAACACAAGGTCATTGCTATGCATCAAGCATGAGAGGATTGATGAAACCAGCTGAGGCTTGATGGCAATCCATCTTCCTGCAGAAAGTAGTTCCAACTCTGGCAGAAGTAAGCTTTGCCACAGAGGGAAGTTCTGAAGAGTGAGCTTGGTTCTAATGGTGGCACAGACCTGCAAGGGCACAGGCCAGATAGATAACTAGTGAAGTTAAAAAGATCCAAATACTGCTGGGTGCAGTGGCTCACACCTGTAATCCTACCACTTTGGGAGGCCAAAGTGGGTAGATTGCCTGAGCTCAGAAATTCAAGACCAGCCTGGGCAACACAGTGAAACCCCATCTCTACTAAAACACAAAAGATTAGCTGGGCATGGCAGTGTGTGCCTATAGTCCTAGCTACTTGGGAGGCTAAAGCAGGGGAATCACACCACTGCACTCCAGCCTGAGTGACAGAGCAAGACTCAATCTCCCAATAAATAAATAAATAAATAAAGATAAAAGTTTCATGCACCACCTCAGATATACTATGTTGCCAGAATTGTTAGGAGTGGAGGCCAGGTGCAGAAGTTTTCAAGCCTCTTCTCTGCTGATTAAAGGCATACTCCCCAATTAAGAGATACTACTTTAGAACAATAGTTCTCAATTAGGGTAATCCTGCCCCAAAGGGGACATCTGGCAATGTCTGAATGTGGAAAGGAGTTGGGCATAGCGGTACATGCCTATAGTCCCAGCTACTTGGGAGGCTGAGGCAGGAGGATCACTTGAGGCCAGCAGTTAGAGGCTGCAGTGAGTTATGATCACGCCTGCGAATAGCAACTGTATTCCAGCCTGGGCAACATAAGGAGGCTCTATCTCTCTAAAAAACAATTAAAAATCAACAAACTGGAGGAGTATTACTAGCATTTAGTGGACAAAGACTAAATATCCTGCAATGCACAGGAGAGCCTCCTCCCATCCCTCCTCAAAACCAGGTCAAGAAAGCTTGCTTCCAAGAGAGGCCTCTGGGAGGTAAGCCAGGGAGTTGTTTCACTTCTGGAGTACTTCAGAAACAGGAGGAGACAACTGAGAGATCTCATGAGATGTTCTCCACGATTCCTTCCGGGCCTCAATCTATGAAGAAACAGGGTAGAGGCATATCTGACAGAAAAACTTTGATAGAACTTACCAATACAAATATGTGTTTAAAGCCGAAAACAGGGTGAGAGAAATGTAAACTTCTCTTTTGCCCTGTTTAACAGAGAACTAACTCCTCATAGATATAAGTAAGTCCTGAACACTGATATGCCATTACCCTGGAGGTTCTGTTTTCTAAGAGCTATGCCAGCGAGGCAACTCTAAGATAGAAAACTGATTCATCTAGTTAAAGCACAAAAGGGGAAACAGTACAGTTCAAAAGTAAGTCTCCAAAGTCCATCAAGATATGTCCCAATCTTCAACACTAGGAACTATGTCCAGAGCAAGTTACAGTTTCTTTTTCCCTTACTTGCTTCTTTAATGTTACACTACCTATGTAGTATAGTACCCATTCTTTAGTGTTATGAATATATTCCATTCTATTTTATCCAGTGATTCCCACTAATGGAAGATATGTTCTAGTAAAGAAGCGTTCCTTAGATTATAATAAAAACCATTATGAAGAAACAAACATCAATTAAAAGGAAAAATAACTGATAAAACATTAAAATAATAAATATGATTTAAAAGAGTAATATAAAA